AGGCCTCAGAGTAAGGGTGGTGTATCTAAAACCACAATAAAATTTTATTGGAAGATAGCTATGTGCATTTGCTTATGCGTTGCTTATGGCTGCTTTTGTGCTACAAAGGCAAAATTGTGTAGTTACAATAGAGAGTGTGGCCCACAAAGCCAAGCTCAACATTATTTCTTCCTTTATAGAAAGGGTTGGCAGTTCACACCCACCAGCTGTCCATTGGGAGAAAGAAGAGTCTGTCCACTGCGATAAAGGTTTACAGCCGTAGAAACCCTGTATAGGTCATGCTAAGCCATATTGACCCAATGGCAGAAGTTGTATTGGTTGGTTTGTTTGAAACAGAAAGTTTGCTGACCCCTGCCTTAGAGACGGAGTTTCTTCTACTGTGAAGGCACGTAGGCTGTGAAATCCAGGAGGGCATCACTGCTGGAGTTTGCTAAGCCCTGCACACGGACATCTCCAACTTGAGTTCCTCAGTAATTTCAAATTCATATTCAATGCCTGGAAAGGGACACCACAGCGTGTGGTGCAGTGAGCTCTTACCTGAGCAGTGCACGCCTGGCTGTTAACAGGGGAGGAGACACTGAGCCCTTCTGCCTGCGCTCCGGAAGACGAAGGTAAGAAGTAATGGTTGTTGGGCGAAGGAGGCAAGCTGATGTGTTGTGGGCTCTTCAGAGTCCCCAGGGGGGAGTGTTGGGGTGAGCATTGTGGGCTGAGAAATGTGGGGGAAAGTACATTGGTCTGACCTGAAGGCTCCACACTACGAGTGCCCCCCAGGGGTAGGAGCTGAGCAGCATCACACAGGGTCTGTTGGCTGTCCGAGCTGTTGCCTTCCCTTTTAGCAGATGTGTGCTGGGAGGCAAAAGGACAGCTGGAGACAGCTTCCTCCTGCTTGATGGGGGCAGCCAGGAAAGGCGGTAGCTTCTTCTCAGAGCAGTGATGGCGCTTCTGTTTCTGAAGCTGCATCCTCAGCTCCTCCACCTGCCGCTGCTCTTGCTGGAGCTTCCAGGTGAGCTCATTGATCACCTTCTGCTTCTCCACCAGCATCTTGTCCTTCTCTGAGTCCAGCCCGTCCACCTCGGAGGGCAGAGAGCCCCCGTTCAGACTGCTCATGAGGCTCTCTTCCGTGCAGACGTGGACTGGGGATGGGTGCAAGGTGAACGAGGGGGACGCATCGTTGAAGGTGTCCGGCAGGGACCCAGCAACTGAGAGGTCAGAAGAGGCGGGAGAGATGGGCGGGCTGGAGCTGGTGCTGCCGAAGTGGTAGAAGCCATTGGACAAGGCACTGGTGGAAGGAGAGGACTGGTAATTAGGCAGAGCACTGGTAGGTGTCACAGGAAAGGTGACGGTCGTAATGTCACTGAAGTTTGGCACAGAGTTTCCGGCACAGTCCTGGAAGGGCCGCAGTCGCTCCATGAGGGCGGTTTTGGTGCCAGACACAGGCAAACCTCGTATTCGAAGTTGTTGTCTTAATTCAGAGACCTAGAGGAAGCAGAACAAGGTGAGCGCACTCTTTCACGTCAATGTCTTTTTAAAATGTGTGTCTCATAAAAATGACTTTGATGCCATGTTCCTGAGGATTCCACCAATCTCCATTCAACCAGTCAGCCAAGTCTCTTTAATAAGCGTTCTACTTTCACAACAAAAAATGAGAAGGTTAAAGAGCAACGTGTCAAAATTCCATGAGGGGG